CGGAAGGTACTGTGGTGGAAGCATGTGAAAGTACTACACGTGTGTGTGTGTGTGTGTGTGTGTTCTCACCTATTTGTACCTATAGATTCGCGCTACAGATCTTTGACCCCGACTATCCAACCGCTGGTCGTCAAATAGAATAACTATGAACCTACGTGTTTATCATACATGGTTTTAAAGCAGTAGATGGTTTTGGTTTCTGTCGTTTTATTCATTCCATTTCCCTACTTCTCTTACCTTAAGGGAGCATTTTCTCACATATTTAAGTCTTATCTCTAGTTCCAATCCTCACTCCTGTTTTATGGTATTCTTATCAACATTTCCTCCTTTCCACAATGTCAGTTTCCCCCCCTAAATATATTTCGCATATCTCTACCTTAAGAACGCAAGAAAATGTAAGTGGAAACTCAAGGAGCCTATTGACCCAAGCGAGATAGTTGGTTTTTATATCAAACCAAACTCATGTATGTGTCAACTTTCATTCAAGACAAAGAAGCGATCCATCATCTACTCGGCAGTTTATACCATAAAACAACATTGTTGACCAGACCACACACTAGAAGGTGAAGGGACGACGTTTCGGTTCGTCCTGGACCATTCTCAAGTCGGTCTTGAAAATGGTCCAGGACGGACCGAAACGTCGTCGTCCCTTCACCTTCTAGTGTGTGGTCTGGTCAACAATGCTGTTGACCAGACCACAATTTCCAAACCCATATTTACTGGTTAGAAATAAATTGGGTTTTCTGAATTTAAACTTATCCAATTTTTATCCATTGTTTCATGTTCTATTTTGTATTGATATATTTAACACTTTACTAATAGTCCCAATATGACAGGTTTCTAATTCCTTGAATTAATTTTGTCATCTTTCTCAGTACCCGGTCAATACAATTTATGTATATTCTTAGTATGGTGGCTAAACTAGAGTATTATATATGTCTAAGTACCTTACATGTCAGGATTAAGTCTCCTCTAGTTCTCCTATTTGTCAAGAGATATAAGGGTCACTTACCATTGCATGAGCTCACACAGAATCATGATAGGTTGCGGGCCGCTCCAAGCAACAACCTAGTGGACCAAGCTCCACTAGGAGGAGAAGACTCGGGCGCTAGCCGCTGACTGAGGGAAGGAGGAGCACCACCATGCCTGATCAACGGTAAAAGGAAAGAGCTACTGTTGTTGTTACTGCAGGCACCATATTGCACAATACTTCCAACGTGACAGAAGAGCATTCATAGAGTGAGCAAAACCTGTCAGCAGACAGCCAAGAGTCACCATATACCACCACCTGTCAGCAGACAACCAAGAGTCACCATATACCACCACCTGTCAGCAGACAGCCAAGCGTCACCATATACCACCACCTGTCAGCAGACAACCAAGAGTCACCATAAACCACCACCTGTCAGCAGACAACCAAGAGTTACCATAAACCACCACCTGTCAGCAGACAACCAAGCGTCACTATATACCACCACCTGTCAGCAGACAACCAAGCGTCACCATAAACCACCACCTGTCAGCAGACAGCCAAGCGTCACCATAAACCACCACCTGTCAGCAGACAACCAGGAATCAGCCAGTAGAGCGTATGGAACAATTACCTTACCTGCACCTGGGAGTTCCATGCTAAGACAAACCAATAGGGAAGACGTACAAATGCCACACTGGAAGAATGAGTTCTGTCAGGCCTTCGGAAAGGCACAAATGGTATTCCAATACTTAAGAAAGCAAACACGGGAAGCACTTAGGAAGAAGCCAGTAGCATTATCTTACCTTGTAAGATAATGGAGAAAATAATTAGACTAATGGAGAAGCTGGAGAGTAAAATATTAATTGCACAAAGTGAATACGGTTTCAGGGTTGGCAAATACTTACAAACTATTTTACTAGAATTGTTGAATTGGAATGACTTAATTTCAGGCATATAAGAGAAGGAACAGTAGGCGTCATATTCCCAGGCTGTCAGAAGCCATCGATAAAGTCCCACACATAACAAAAAAATATACAAAAGGGAAAGGCATGTTGACGTAACACGAACAGTAACGTGATGAAATAACGCCATACAGACATAACACAGAGAGTCACAGTGAGAGAGGCTGAAATGCTTGGATGTTATAGGGAACACTTACCCGAGGAGTCACACCTACATGACTACATTAGCAAACGATGCAAAAATTACTACAAGAGTACTTGGACAAGTTATACAATTAATTATGTTATAATTATATGCTATAATTCAGTTCTATCAATACAACACAGCCTGAAGAAGACACCAAAGGGAACGATAAAGACTTAGACATTCTGCACAACCTATGTCAGACTAGTACACGATTGTGCATCACTGGAAATAGAGTCAGAGGAGACCTGATGACCACAACGTACTGAGACACAAATCAGACAAGACTATGCTCTTCAGTATGGTTTGTAGTGGAACAGAAGGAAAAGGTGGAAGCTGGAAGTACAGATGAGCCACGAGTAAAGGGAAAGTAATCTATGAGTGTGTCGGAAAATCCGACACCATTTAATATAACATACAGACAGATAATAATTGCTGTGTTGTATAAACAAGTTAACCCATAGAAAATGTAACTTGCAGTGGAACATTCTGTCTATAGAAAACGGGATATCGTTACCACATACTATTATAATTCACCACCTATTATGGTGGGAATTATTCTTAAATACATTAGTCTTTGGACTTTACCATCATAAAAACATCTCATATAAATTAACTTAATTATCAATATTAAAGTAGAGTAAATGTGACCCTTCTATCACTTTCTGTCATCTGGACAATGTAAGCCAGGCGTCAGTGAGAAAGGAGGGGCAGCCATTGTTTATACTAAGACCACAGAGGCTCATGGGAGCAAATACGGCTCCTGTTAATTTTACTTGGACGTAGTGTTATGGAAACCAAAGGTGTACCATCTTCAACACGCTGTCAACAAATTCAAGTTAAGTGTTCTTCCGAAACCCATTTATCTTTCATTTATGGCCATTAATGTCTGGATATAGGGTGACCCGGTTAGAGCACGAGATAGCCTCATACTAAAGGTAATTAAGCCCAGGTCTTCATGGTTCCATGTACAGTGCTTTCTCTGATATAGTTGTCATATATATAGGATTCTGGCTTCTTAGCTAGCGCCCTTTTGACAGGTCAAGACGAGGAAGCATGCTTTGTGCATCAGTTACCAGGGTGATGGAAGCTACCTCACACGAGGAAAATGTGGTGTCTACATCCTGGTTATACCTGGTGGACTAAGGCCTGCTGTACTATAAGATAAGGAACCTCTTCAATGTATGTAGTCTAATACTGTAGTTTGATTGGCTGCATATATATAAATTAAATTAATATAAACCCCCCTAATGTGTAGAGGATCGATTTGTGAGATTATGAGATTATTGCAGAAATACAGTCCACTTATCATTATACAAATTGCTATCGAAGTATATAAATTAACGTAAATATAAATTCATATAAATTAAATAAATATAAATCTCACAGGTCGGTTCCCACAGAGTGTGTGAGAAATGAACAACTGAATGAGGTAAATAAGATCTTGAAGGCCACCTTCATTCACAGCTTCCAGTGTAAATATTTATAAGATCGAGAAACATTGCATAAAAAACAGATAGTCAAATGGCGGTGCTTATGAGCTGAAGCTCATTCCTAAGGACACTATAATGGGAACACCCCTACCTTGCTACACACGTGCATAGCCACACACATGTACATGCACGCACTCTCTCACGCGCATGCACGCACATGCGCACGAGCGCGCGCACACACACAGTGTAGTACTTTCCGATGCCTCCACCACAGTGCCATGTGCCGAACTACTGATCCCGGGTCTTCGAGTGCCAGCCAGACCCGTCAAGCGTGACTAACACCTCTTCACAAAGTGTGGATCATCCTCTGTCGGTTAAGGTAAAGAGGGAGACAGCAGACTCGGCCAAAGTTTACCAGAGACTTGAAGGCGGGAAATGTATCGCGTTTATTTTATAAATCTTTTCTCATTATTGTGTTCTCGAAACTCTTTCTCGCCTCATAGTGTTGATAATTGTATTATTGTACGAACGTTATTGCCGTTATTAGTTCCTGTATTACCAGGGGTTCTTTGACCCCTTTTACGATTACAGAACCCGAATGGATTATCTTATGTACCCAAACCCCTTCGCCAGGTTGTCGAAGTCATCACCACCAGTCTGCTAGGTACCAGAATAACTTCTAAAGATGTCAATAACTTGGTTTTACTTTACAAATCGATGGCTCGGGAGAGAACAGCTAGAAGAAAACCTAAGAATTTTATCATATATATATATATATATATATATATATATATATATATATATATATATATATATATATAAGAAAACCTAAGAATTTTATCATATATATAGAAAAAACTGCAAATCACAACTGCTCAAGGTAGCTACAACCAGTGAAATGTTTGCTGATGCTCTTGTGCAATCAAGAAATACCCACTAAGCTTACCTTCTCATGCCATATTGACACGGAATAATTCTAATAACATTTGTATTAAACTCTTCAGAAATCGAGTCCCATACCCCTCAATATTTGGTGCCCATACCCACGGGGTATAGATATCGGTTAAAAACCTTTATTCTCGACTCTCGGACGACATAGGATCACGTATGACAGTAACTGTATGAGATTTCGAACTTATTTAACATAAGATAAATCCATTGGGGGATTTATAAGACTTAGGTTTCATATACGCCAGAGGTTGTTTATTCTAAAAACTGTTTTATGTGACTGCAGCTCAGGAGAAAACAGCAATGTTCGAACGATTAGTTTCATAAATGAGTTCTCATGTCGATAAGGAAATCAAATTATGAAACTAGTTCACATCAAGTGTAAGTGGAGTACCTTAGAGACGGTATGGTATTTCTTTACCAACGTCTTAACACCCTTCCCTGGAAGGTCGTATTGCAGGCTCTTTAGTATACTTACCTGCATCATGGTGGTTATCTAAATGACGCTGTCAGAGCCTCTACCTCACGACCAGACGCTGTCAGAGCCTCTACCTCACGACCAGACGCTGTCAGAGCCTCTACCTCACGGCCAGACGCTGTCAGAGCCTCTACCTCACGACCAGTCGCTGTCAGCGCCTCTACCTCACGACCAGACGCTGTCAGAGCCTCTACCTCACGACCAGACGCCGTCAGAGCCTCTACCTCACGACCAGACGCTGTCAGAGCCTCTACCTCACGACCAGTCGCTGTCAGAGCCTCTACCTCACGACCAGACGCTGTCAGAGCCTCTACCTCACGACCAGACGCTGTCAGCGCCTCTACCTCACGACCAGTCGCTGTCAGCGCCTCTACCTCACGACCAGACGCTGTCAGAGCCTCTACCTCACGACCAGACGCTGTCAGAGCCTCTAGAGACGCTGTCTCTACCTCACGACCAGACGCTGTCAGAGCCTCTACCTCACGACCAGACGCTGTCAAGAGCCTCTACCTCACGACCAGACGCTGCCAGAGCCTCTACCTCACGACCAGACACTGTCAGAGCCTCTACCTCACGACCAGACGCTGTCAGAGCCTCTACCTCACGACCAGACGCTGTCAGAGCCTCTACCTCACGACCAGACGCTGTTTCTACATTATGACAGAAACCCAAGCCGTTGAGAGGGGACGAACACATACACTCAGCGTTGCCGGGAGGCGACGCGGCAACTTTTCAGGGAACTCCAGTGTACAGCAAGTTTGAGTCGAGCTTCAGTGGCATTGTCAAGATTGTTTTAGAAGAATTGTCGACAATTTCCCGGTTATTTTTATCTCCTACGGGTAGGACCAGGCAAAGAGAGAGAGAGGGGAAGAGAGAGAGAAAATAGAATAGAATGACTCAAAAGATAATAGAAATGAGAAAAGGAAATTTAGAAGGCAGAAGAAGAGGAGGCAATAAAAAATGAGAAGGAAAGTGAGAAAAGCAAGTGAAGAGGATATAATACAGAGAAGGAGAAGGAATTTGAGAAAGTAGAATGTAAAAAGAGATGAGAGAAAAAAAAAGAGGAAATGAGTAGAAGCGTCGTGGAAACAGGAGATAAGAGATGGCGCGGGGGTTCGAGTGGGCGGTAATGACTCGGAGCGAAAGACGTGGTTCCGTAGTGCCACAATCAGGTGAATTAAGTGTGACAAAGATATTGTCAATAAATACCTGTGTGGGGGGGGGAGGGGCTTGCTACATAATACCAGCCTAAGATCAAACAACCCCGTTACTAAGAGCAACAATATTTGGTCAAACGTACACAAACAAGGCATTTAAAGTACCTGTGTCCTAGGTCTTAATGTAGTTCCTGGGCAACACCAGGAAGTCATGACTCAGGCACTGGAGTTCCTCGGCAGCAGCAGGAGATCATCAAGCGCTCACGGGGGGCTATAACCCACCACGATCAATAGTGGAGATTGGCCAAGTGTGTTCATGATTACCACAACCCTGTGTGCCATGATGAGTGCCTGGCACTCTCTCGATTGTCCCATGATTGGCTGGCACTCTCTCGTTTGTCCCATGATTGGCTGGCACTCTCTCGATTGTCCCATGATTGGGCACTCTCTCGATTGTCACTCTCTCGATTGTCCCATGATTGGCTGGCACTCTCTCGATTGTCCCATGATTGGCTGGCACTCTCTCGATTGTCCCATGATTGGCTGGCACTCTCTCGATTGTCCCATGATGATTGCCTGGCACTCTCTCGATTGTCCCATGATGAGTGCCTGGCACTCTCTCGATTGTCCCATGATGAGTGCCTGGCACTCTCTCGATTGTCCCATGATGAGTGCCTGGCACTCTCTCGATTGTCCCATGATGATGACTCTCTCGTGTCCCATGATGAGTGCCTGGCACTCTCTCGATTGTCCCATGATGAGACTCTCTCGATGAGTGTCCCATGATGATTGCCTGGCACTCTCTCGATTGTCCCATGATGAGTGCCTGGCACTCTCTCGTGTCCCATGATGAGTGCCTGGCACTCTCTCGATTGTCCCATGATTGGCTGGCACTCTCGTTTGTCCCATGATGATGGCTGGCACTCTCTCGATTGTCCCATGATGATTGGCTGGGACACACTCGTTTGTCCCATGATGATTGGCTGGGACACACTCGTTTGTCCCATGATGATTGGGTGGCAGTCTTTCGTTTGTTCCATTATGATTACCAGCCAATCTGTTGTGTCCCATGATGATTGGGTGGCGCACTATTGAGTCCCACGATGATTAGAGGCACAGAGTCCAGTATTACCTTATAACCAGTTTGAGTCCTTCTGAGGGTGCCTGGCACCCTTGCCTCGTGTGACAATGAGGTCCAGGGTGCCACCGTGAAACGATCACAACTATAAGTCTAACAAAGGCCTCATTAAACACAGTTGTGATATTTCCTGAAAGACCAACACTACTTTTAAACACGCTTACACTACACTCCAAGTCTAACATTTTAAATGCATTTAAACTCCCTCGGCAGAACTGGAGTGGTTGACTGAGGTATTAAATAAATACTATATACACCGATGAACACAGAAGCTCATAAGACTATTTCACAGGAACGTGTTATGGACCAGTCAAAAGTGAGTATGTTCCATCATACATTTAGTGAGTGTGATTTTCATGAGGTTTTGTTAGGGAAAAAGTACGATTTTCGTGGATGTAAATACAATATATATACTCGGTTGTTGGGGGCCCAATACATGGGTCCTTCTCCCTGGCAAATAGGGAACGCCCTATTCTCCGGCAAATACAGGACGTTCAACATCAATGCCCGGCCTTGAGGGCTCCAGCTCCGCAAACCTGTAGTGGCATAAAACTAATTGTATTATACAATGCTGAGAATACAGTCCATTCTATTTGCCACTCTGTAAAAAAAAAAAAATCAACTGCCTGACCAGAAACGTACGAACCCAAACAACCCCCTTAACCTAATGATGCCGGTGCATGGAAACCGTCAATATCACAGTGCTAGAATTTTCACTAACACGTCGTATTTTTACCGGATTGGTCTGTTCCATAACAAAAAAAAAAACAGGGCGAGTGGGAGAAGAATATTGCAAACTTTTTGGCGCTCATTGCAGGCGATCAATGCAGCACGAAAGTGGAGAATAACTAGTGATACGTCAATAGCTTGCAAGTCCACGTGTTGCAACATGGACTCGCGGCGCCAAGCCTCTTACGGGAATTATGAATTTCGCGTTTATGAAAATAATGATTTTGGGGGTTTGTCTCAAGGTAATGGGTTTCCAATACTTGAGTCACGCGTTTTATGGTCTACTGATCCATGCTGGATGAGCACCAGGGAGAGGCTCGTGCATTATATGAGAGAGACAGAGAGAGAGACAGAGAGAGAGACAGAGGGAGAGACAGAGGGAGAGACAGAGGGAGAGACAGAGGGAGAGACAGAGGGAGAGACAGAGGGAGAGACAGAGGGAGAGACAGAGGGAGAGACAGAGACAGAGAGAGGGGGGGCCGGAAAAAGTGTGTTTGAGGAATACGGTGGGATCGAATTCGCGTTTCAGGCCTCCCCAGGCACGCACATTGGTATCATGAAGTAGAAGTAAAGGTAATTACGAGGTTTAATCACTAAACCAGTATGACAATACAGCTCATGGAAGGGATACGAAGACACGAGGAACTGGAATATGAAGACAAGGAGCAAGATGAGATATTAGGAAGGGAAGAGAACTATCAGCGGAAAGCGCCAAGCCATTACGACTATATAGCACAGGGAAGGCGTCAGGATAAGGAATTAGGATGGGACGGGGGGATGGAATGGTGCCCGACCACTTGGACGGTCGGGGGATTGAACGCCGACCTGCATGAAGCGAGACCGTCGCTCTACCGCCCAGCCCAAGTGAGATACAATACAAGATGATGATGATTGATGAAGATTAAACCACCCAAAAGGTAGCACGGGCATGAATAGCCCCGTAAGTGGTGGCCCTTTTGAGCCATAACCAGTATCAAGAGCTGATACTGGAGATCTATGGAGGTGCGACTGCACCCTGCGTGACGGGAGATGTCTCCCGTGATACAAGGGGATCCCAGACTCAGTCATATAGTCAACTCACCCTAGAACTTGACTGATGGAGTCACCCAAGAGGTGGCACGGGCATGAATAACCCGTAACCCCGTAGAAATGCCAGACGTACCATTATACACCATCAATATTCACCCATTATTTTGAATGAACAATTATGGTTAATGGTAGAGCAGGATACCCAAGGTTTGCACCGGTGTACTTGTGATGTATCTACACCGTTCCCTTGGGGTCAAGTCAGACTTCAATTTACGGAAGATACTCGCACTCATGCAAGGGTCAAGTGCAAGCGTCACCCTCGGCTCGTCCAGATGTATCACAGGAAGAGGAGGAGGAGGAAGACAATTGTCTTGCGCGAACGTGAGGGCAAGAGATCAATGTTGCAGCTGCAGGTGGGAGTGGTGGAACACTGAATGTATGCAGGTGGGCTTGCAGGTGACTGGGATACAGTCTCCTGCATGGGAGACATTCACCTGCATGGGATACAGTCTCCTGCATGGGATACAGTCACCTGCATGGGATACAGTCACCTGCATGGGATACAGTCACCTGCATGGGATACAGTCACCTGCATGGGATACAGTCACCTGCATGGGATACAGTCACCTGCATGGGATACAATCACCTGAATGGGATACAATCACCTAGAGAACCCTGATCAGGGCTTTTGAGTAGTTTTAAGTAATTTTTACATTCGATACACTAGAGAGTTTTAAGTACTACTATAAAAAATTATCATTGAAAAGCCATCAGTTAGAATTTGAAACTTTATTTGTAAAACAAACAAATCGTTACAATGACGGCTGGATTCTACAGCAGTGTTAAACTTATTATTTTTTTACATAAAGTGAATAACAATTACAATTAATATTTGAATGGTGACTAGTAAAACAATGTGGAGTTTACCAGTACTGGAGTTTACAAACCAGAAGAACATATAATGGCCTTTCTATAATGAACATTATTGTTCTTTGGTGTTCCGAAAGTTCACGTCTGTTCTAAACCGGAATTAGTGGAATAAGCTTTGAGGGAAAAACACCACAGAAGCAAGAACTCAACACACAGGAGAACCGTGAATATATCACACAAATGAGAAGCAGGAGAGCAACCCGTTCTCGCACTTTATTATAGTCAATATTGACTTATTAAATACGTGCATGTGACATACAAATTTATTGTGAATATTTTAGTTTACCTTGAAAAGCTTCATAGAAAACACCGACCTTACCTAACCTTCTTAGTATGTTAAGATAAGCATCTTATTGCTTCGTATTACAATTATTACTGAACCTATACTTATAATAGGTTAAGTAATAATTGTAAATACGATGCAATAAGATGCTTAATACTACTAAGAAGGTTAGGTAAGGTCGGTGTTTTCTATGAAGCTTTCAAGGTAAACAAAAATATTCAAAATAAATTATTATGTCACATATGCACGTATTTAATAAGTCATTATTGACTATAAGAAAGTGCGAGAGCGGGTTGCAACGAGAGGCGTCACCGTGGACTACAAATGACATCCATAGGTATTTATAAGCAAACATCAAGATGAACATTTATTTAGGTTAGTGTAGGTGAGTCCCAAGTGGAGCCGACTGAGGTAAGGTGATACTTCTCATAGCTTATGTCTGGACAGTAGAGCGACGGTCTCGTTTCATGCAGCACGGCGTTCAATCCCCTGCCGTCAACTGGTGGTTGAGCACCATTCCTTTCCCCCGTCCCATCCGAAATCCTAATCCTGACCGCTTCCAAGTGCAACAAAGTCGTAATGGATTGGCGCTTTCCCCTGATACTTTAAAAACAAACAATTACTGCTTATGTGATTTAAATAAATTCCACAGAGACTGGAAATGATTACAACCGACTTAAAGGCTCAAAGAGACAGTTTTTAACTCTCTTTTTTTTCTGTGAGAAAACTATTGAATTTCGGGCAGTTAAACGATGTCCCAACATAGATATTTTTGAGCCGAATTCTGGCTCTTTGCACATATTTGGAGTTTGAAATTACGACTTTTTATACCGAAAAAATGCCAATTTGTGACAATGGCGATTTATCAAATTTTGCCCAAACCCCCCAGCAGTTTTCACAATATCCAAAATATCGCAAATCTGACGCCTGGGCGAGTTTTTTGGGCGAGTTTTTTCGGCCGAATTCTGACTCTTTGCACAAATTTGGAGTTTTAAATTACGACTTTTTATTCCGAAAAAATGCCAATTTTTGACAACGGCGTTTTATCACATTTTGCCCAAGCCCCCCTGCAGTTTTCACAATATCCAAAATATCGCAAATCTGACGCCTGGGCGAGTTTTTTCGGCCGAATTCTGACTCTTTGCACATATTTGGAGTTTAAAATTAAAACTTTTTATTCCGAAAAAATGCCAATTTTTGACAACGTCGATTTATCACATTTTGCCCAAACCCCCCTGCAGTTTTCACAATATCCAAAATATCGCAAATCTTACGAGTGTGCGAGTTTTTTCGGCCGAATTCTGACTCTTTGCACATATTTGGAGTTTGAAATTACGACTTTTTATTTCGGAAAAATGCCAATTTTTAACAACGGCAATTAATCACATTTTGCCCAAGCCCCCCTGCAGTTTTCACAATATCCAAAATATCGTAAATCTGACGCCTGGGCGAGTTTTTTCGGCCGAATTCTGACTCTTTGCACTTATTTGGAGTTTTAAATTACGACTTTTTATTCCGAAAAAAATGCCAATTTTTGACAACGGCGATATATTATATTTTGCCAAAGCCCCCCCTGCATTTTTCACAATATCCAAAATATCGTAAATCTGACGCCTGGGCGAGTTTTTTCGGCCGAATTCTGACTCTTTGCACATATTTGGAGTTTTAAATTACGACTTTTTATTCCGAAAAAAAATGCCAAATTTTAACAACGGCGATTTATCACATTTTGCCCAAACCCCCCTGCAGTTTTCACAATATCCGAAATATCGCCAATCTGACGCCTGGGCGAGTTTTTTCGGCCGAATTCTGACTCTTTGCACATATTTGGAGTTTTAAATTACGACTTTTTATTCCGAAAAAATGCCAATTTTTGAACACGGCAATTTATCACATTTTGCCCAAACCCCCCTGCAGTTTTCACAATATCC